CCCCCCTTTCCCGCCGTTTGCAGCTCCACGGACACACACACACACACACTCGCATTATTCTTCATCACGGTAAATTCCCTCAATCCCAGGCAATTCCTCTCGCGGCTGCGCCATCCTTCTCTGCCGCCTCTCTTCTAATTTAAATTCAAATCCCCCGCCCACGCGGCGGCGGCGGCCCTTGCGCCGCCTTGTGTAATGAAAGTGTCTTCGATGCGTTATGAATGGCGGCGACGAGGACCAGGCCCGGCCGGCGTCGTCGGCGTTGTCACCTGCCGCCCGCGACACCGCGACCGCCCCAGCCCTTACTTGGCGCCAGATTTATTTTGTTTTTGTGTTCTCACTTCCCTTGTCCTAGCGCACTTTTACTGTCGTTAGATTTAATCTCCATTTTTAATTTTAAAAACGGGCTTGAATGAATAAGCACTGTTATAGTTTTAAACGTTTTAAAGGATTCGGGGGGACTTTTCTACTTTTATTTTGCACATGCACTTTGGTCACTTGAGACCTTCTTCTTCTTGGTTCTCTGTGTTGCCCATTGCCGACCTACCCGGCATCCGAGCCCATTCTTGCCGCATGGTTCCTGTTGGCGATTCCGAGGACCCCCCGAGCGTTGCGAGTCTCCCTCCGCTCCGCGGCGGCGGGGTATGCCCGTTTAGTCAACTATCGCGCTGAGGCTGAAGGCGGCTGAGGCGCTGGGCGTCGGGTTCCCCCCGCCCCGCCCCACCCCGCCCCCGGCCCGGCTCGGGTCCTGCGCTCGGGTATAAATCATTTGGCCGGCACGGCAGTTCGCTGAAACGTGTTGCCTTGCCCCACCATTGGCCGAGAACGTGGTGTGGTGTGGTGTCGCCGAACGGGGCCTTTTCAGGGGAGAGGGGGGCGGAAGGGTGCCGGCCGGCCGGCCAGGACTGCGGCATTCTAGCAGGCGTCCGGGGACCAGCCCTAAGTAGGGGCCGTCCGAAATATTTGGCCTTCATATTTTATATATTTGTTAAACACAATGAAATGAAATGCTTAGCATGTGACAAACTTTGCACTTAAATTAAGCAGAAAAGAATACAAGTGTCTCTGATGTTTAATGTCTGTAGGTGCACTACATATTCGAGAGATCGCAAGCAATTCATGTTACTTCAGTTTAATAAACGAGTTGTATGTCTGCGTTTTCATCCAAATGCCTAGCAGACATTTCCTTTATCCTTCACCGCCCAGGCGGAGTGGAGGAGAAG